GTGGGGCCCGCCAAGAGCATAGGGCCGCCCATTCAAACAAGAAGTACTCACGACGCAATGTGTAGGGCTTTAAAGGATCGCGTGCGCCCGAGCAGGTTAACACATAGGGCCCCCCATCAAAAGCATAGGGCCCTCCATTGAAATAGAAAATAACCAAGACCCAATGAAGAGGGCCCCCGAATGATCGAGTGTGCCCGAGCAGTTTAACAGACAAGGTTCACAAGAAGAGCGTGGGGCCCTCCATTCAGATAAGAAGTATCGTAGACCGTATATAAAATGCTTCAGAGTGATGGAATGTGCCCGAACAGTTTAACAGAAGGGCCCGACAGGAATGTAAGACCCTCCATTAAAATAAGAAGCCCCCAAAACCTAGTGCGGAGGGCCCCGAAAGATGCAGTATACCCGAGCAGATTATCAGATGGCCCAGATAGGAGCATGGACCCTAAATTCAAATACCGCGACTCAATATATAGGGCCCCAGAACAATCCTGTGTGGCCGAAGCGGCGAACAAGTGAAGTCCCCGACAAGTGTGTAGGGCCCTCCACTCAGATAGGAAGTACCCAAGACACAATGTGGAGGGCCCCCAGATATTCGAGTGTGTCCGAGCGGTCGAATGACCCGAGCATTTTATCAGAAGGGCCCTAACAGGAGCGTAAGGCTCTCCATTCAACTAAGAAGTACCCAAAACCCGATGCGGAGGGCCCCTGAAGATGGAGTGTGCCCGAACAGGTTATCAGATGACCCCGATAGGAGCAGAAGACTCTAAATTCAAACACCAAGAACCAATGTGCAGGGCCCCCCGAGTAATCCATTGTGGCCGAGGAGGCGAACAGGGGGGGGGGGGGGAGGGGGAAGTGCGTAGGGCCCCATTAAAAAAACACGTGCCCAAGGCCCCATGTATAGGGTCCCCGAACGATCGAATGTGCTTGAGCAGGTTATCAGACGGGCCCCCACAAGAGCATAGGCCCTCTCCCCATTCAGACAAGAAGTACCCAAGACCCAGGATGGAGGGCCTCCGAACGACTGAGTGTACCCAAGCAGATCATCGAATGGGCCACCGTTGTAGGGTCCTAAGCAAGTGGCAATGCATTGGGAAGTCCCTAGACCAATGCAGAGGGCCCATGAGCATATCGCAAGTGTGTCGGTAGGTTAACCGAGGCCCACGTAAAGGGCCGCTGAGCAACCGAGGATACCCCGGCAGGTTAAGATATGGGACCCCGGCTTTAGCACACAGAGCCTTTCTGGCAAATGGAAAGAATCCATGGAAGGGCCCGTGATTGACAAGAGGGTCCCGGCACGCTAGCAGGAAGGGCCCCAACAACAGCACAGGGCCCTCCGAACAAATGCAAGGAAATAAAGGACAACGTGGAATGCTCCATAACGATCGCAATAATCCTGCAAGTGGACATATAGGTCCCTCGGCAACAATATGGGGTCCTTAGACAGCGTAATGAGGCCTGGAATTTCAGTTCTAAACTTTTCCAATTATTGAATAATTTTTTAACTTCTCACAGGCCCTTCAATTTCGCACACAACTGTTCCTGGTCGCCTGAAAGTCGAGAGATACCCAGTTTTGTTACGTTTTGTGTTAAACCCTTCGGGGTCCAAGGGAGGGGGGGGGGAATGTCCCCGTGGCTCCCCCTCTGGATCCGCCCCTGCAGTCGTGCGTAGTAGCATAGGCACATGCAATGTCCCGTTGGATAAAGGGGGGCGAAACTATCGCATCCATTTATTTCTGGCAATACTATGGTAGGGTGCTTTTCCACCTTAAATGGAGTGTTTCACATTTATGTCGGATTTGGAACTAAAAAAGCCATCTTGAAACCTTTCGGTGTTGTTCCCGATCCCGCCCTTCTTAAGATCTAAATCTTTCTAGCCTCTGAGCTATACGCCGGCGGGAACGGAGTAAGGTATTTTGGGGAGAGTACTTCAGTCACCTTGGTAATTATGACGTCAAAATAACGTCATTTAAATCCTTCCATTCCATAAACCATGCGGCGATCAAGGTGAGGAAAAATGCAATTGTCGAGGCGTTCATATCTGGCGTTCTTGCGCGCAATTTTAAGATATAACGGGTGTCAGTTGGCTCTCAATAAATGTTGTGCGAGGTACGTTGGCGTAATCAACCATGAGGCATCGAGAAGCATATTCAATAAAAGCAGAATCGTGCATTCTAGAGCAGTCTTTTCCACTTAAGGAAATACCAGTAGTTATATGTCAGCTTGTTTCATCATATCGAATGTTTGCTTCAATATATTCAGCCGTGAAACATTCCCTTCAGTCAAAGGCAAAGCTCTGATAAACGTTGTGACCAATAGAGATTAATAACAACGTCCAACTGCATGCTACGGTGGCTCGATGCGGTGCTGTGTCGGGCGTTCGGCAGCATGGAGTTGGCTTCCATTTGATGAGAGATGTTCGTATCAGGAACACCGTCACATTACAATATATCACGGTCATCAGAGGTTTCTATGTCGCGTAGTATCCGCTGCTGGGATCCAGGCTCCTGTCTAGTCTCGATGCCGAAGAACTCGCTGTTGGCAGATTAAATGGAATATGGACGCCAAATGACGCGAACGCATTCTCATTGGAAACAGGATACAACAAAGGACAACCAATGTTTTCCCATGCGACCAACTCGAAGTTGGGACTACCTGTCCTCCTAGGGAATGGAGTGACATGTCATTTTTACTCTTTTGCTTCGTATAACATTGTCTTAAAATCTATTTCAAATGCATGCTAGTCAAGCACCATAGAGGATTAAGAAAGCCAGGCATTTGTATATATATATATATATATATATATATATATATATATATATATATGTATATATATATATATACTTAAATTGTGGAAGTCCCAGGTTAAAAGTTGCCGCATGTTATGCGTAAGCAAATTTATCTGTTGGCATCTTAAAGTCCCCAAATCTGAGATATGACAGAAGGGCGCTGCAGAGATGTTTAAGAATAAAAAGGTCATTTTGCACTCATTTGCATGAGAATATATACAAAATATATCGAATGATCATGGAATATGTGAGACATTGCGTCTAAGGTGCAATGCCTTCCACCCTTAGCTTCTCGATACAGTATTAACCAATTTTCCTTTTGTGTGTGTGTGGGGGGGGGGGGGGGTAAGTCAATAGGCAATTCCACGATCATTTGTTTGAAGCCGCATGCTCGCCAGTCGGTCGATCAGATTACGTGATCCCAGATGTAGGTGAAGCGGTCCAGGAGCTCCGCGACAGGATCAGGCCCCAGAGAGCGTCAAGACCCTAAGCATATTTTTGTCGCCGCGTTCCGTTCGCGTATTCTCTCCGATTGATAAGGAAATCACTGCGCTCGGTTGCGAGGGCCATGTCAGGTTCGGTGTCATTGGAAGCCGCCATGTGTTTGTCCGGTCGACTATGTAGAGGGCATCTCCAGCGCAGCGCATCCGGGAGCGGCGATCACAATTGACTGACCACCTTTCCGCGCGGTCATTATCGTCAATAACATCGACCGGGAGTCCCGGGAAACGCGGACGGATTTTCTCTTGGAAAAGAGGTCCATTTGGAAGGAGACTACATAATTCACATGACTTTTCTGAAAGTCTTCTCAATGCTTTTGATTTCATGTCTACACTAGCTTGGAGACACCGTGATGTTGTACACAGTAAACAAGAAAGTAAAGGTAGTGGAATGGTGGCTAGCTAAAAGGAGCCGTCAAAACTCAAGCAGAATGCGGCGCTTCGTAAGACCAGAAACAATTTGAACGGTAGTGAAAACAGGGAAAGCATGATCAACAAGCGCGATTTCGCGCCATGAGGATAACTTTACCGCAAATGTAAGCATTGGAAACCTGACTGGGGACACGCGTCAAAACAACGCCGACCAGTATTGGAAAAGCAGGAAAGTTCTTGCTGCGAAGCCCCCACAAATCCATCTGCCAGTCTAGGCAGGAGACAGGCTGTAGCAAGGCAACCGCGTTGGGACTGACAATACATGACAAGACAGGCGGGTCTCCGAAGCTCTCGCCGACCAATGATAACGCGCACGCGCTACAGTGCCCGAGACCATGGCCCATGCAAATCGAGTCCATCGATCATCAACCAGGTTTGGTTTAGCAACGATATGTACTTTCATTTAAACGGCAAAGTCGACAGCCAAAACTATCGTTTTTGGACCATCGTGGCTCCTACCAAAATTCACGAAACTCAACAATTGTTACGTCATTTGTCCCCTTCCGGTTGCACGTCAGCCGAGGGCTGCAGTGACCATAAGGGCCGGACAATGCTTGGCGGTCCTACACCGGTTCTGGGCGGCTGTGAAGAAAGTTTGCGGTGGAGACATGCCTCAGCAGTAGCTTCCCCAAGGTGGTGTGACGACACATGCGGCGGTGGCTATGTCCTATATAGAGGGGATTAAGCACATGCAAACTGCGTAGGAAACAATCCTAATGTACTGCAAGTAATATAAATCCAGAACTTCGACGCGTTTTGCAATACATTGATTACGGTCAACGAAAATGCAAATCATTCTTAAATCGTCTGTATCGTTTATCAACATGAATTGCCAAAGCTGCCAGACCTGAAAAGTTCTTTTTCCACAGACGACCTGTGTTATGCGGTTTTGTTTCATATCCATGATGAAGCCCAGCCAGCCCTGATCATATCTGTTCAGTATTGTGCGAGAGCTATTCAAACGCTTGATCCAAAGTGTCCTGCCGCCTCTTCAGGCATATACTGTGACGGATCTGTAGTGTCTCATTAAGTCGTGACTCAATGTGCGGTGCCTTTGCACCTTGCGGTTGCGCGTGATATCATCCGGCCGTGGCGTGTCGAAACGCCCGCAGCAAGGTGGAGACCACTCTCGTCTGCAGGCGCTTCGGCCCCTTCCCCCCGAACAACACACGTATGCCGTCATCTCGTTCGTCCCCCACCGGAAAAGGCGGCTTGCTGGTCGACACCGCTTTCGTGGCTAGCGTCATCGGGGTCCCCGGGACCCTTCGCGTCGGCTCACCGGTGGAGGGGTCTGTGAGGCCCTTGATACCGTCCAGCATGTCCAGCGCCATGTCGCAGATGCGCTCGGCGTGGTTGGGCCGCTTCTCGGGAGCGCCGTCCACCACCATGTACGAGTCACCGATCGTCTCCACCTGGAGGAGGCAGATCCGTTAGCGTTGGCCAAACAGAAGGCACACAGTGCAGGGCAGAGGTCACACGGTGCCGGACAGAGGTCACGCGGTGCCGGACAGAGGTCATGCGGTGCCAGGAGTAGGTCACGCGGTGCCGGGCAGAGGTCACGCGGTGCCGGGCAGAGGTCACACGGTGCCGGGCAGAGGTCATGCGGTGCCAGGAGTAGGTCACGCGCTGCCGGGCAGAGGTCACACGGTGCCGGACAGAGGTCATGCGGTACCAGGAGTAGGTCATGCGGTGCCGGGAGTAGGTCACGCGGTGCCGGGCAGAGGTCACGCGGTGCCGGGCAGAAGTCAGGCGGTGCCGGGCGTAGGGAGCTGTATTCTCAGGCAAAGGGAGCCTTAGGTCTGCCATGGCACGCGCCCGAAGTGCATTGAATCTCGCCGAAGCTCACGCACGATGGCGAACAGATGTGGTCAGCGCTAGATGAGCTCGTTGAGCTCAACCTGTTGCTCACCTTGTACACTCGATTAAGCTCCGTCAGTTGATCGAAAATGGAGTACATTGAGTTCAGCATGGAAACCACTTGCATGGGCGAGATCCTGCTGCAGATCTCGGTGAAGTTGACGACGTCAGAGAACAGGATTGTGACACTGTCGAACACCTGGAATGGTGAGGCAACCAATGAGCCTCCGTCATCGGCTGCATCAGCAGCCAGTCTCGTGCAGAGGAGACAATAAGCAATTCATGGCTATGTACGTAACTTCAGTGAGTACCTTTTTGCGAACAAACGTCTTCAAAATTTAAAACGTTGACACTAAAACTACTCCGAAACCATAATGAATTGCATCGATGAGAATGCGTGCAAGACGATATTGCCTGTACATGCGCATTCTCATATACAGGGCGTTCAAGTTGACGACATTGCCGTTTCTAACTTCATTTAATTCTAGATAAGCATTTAACAAGCGCAGATTATTTCAGCCCTCGTGTGCTGAACGCTCCTGGCCACCAGATAAAGTGAAAAACAATAAGGCTGTTGGCAATGCACGTTTGAAGCAGCACAAAAGGACGCATTATGTTGTGTTAGCGAGGCCTGTTCCTGATGGTATGCCGGTGCGCATTTTGAGCGTCACTCGCCTTATCCTGTCATCGCGTGATTATGACAGCCAATGCCACCGACGGAAAGCAATCCCTAGGCGACATGCCGTCGCATATGACGATAATTGGTCAGGATTCTATTAGCCTAACTAAATTGTCATTCCCTACGGGGCCAAAGATCTCACATTCCATCCATATTGCATGCATTCAGCGCTTGTGAACAAATGCAGCCCAGTCTGTTCCCTTGCCATAGTTCATTTTCCAAGGATCCGGTTAAGATATGAGTTCGGAATAGCTTTAGAGTAAGATTTCATCAATTAAAGTAATAAAGCAGAATGCCTCTAAATCTCGAGTGGGAATGTTTCCCTCAATGTTTGCCATCAACGGGTACTTTTGTTCGTAATCTCTCAAAGACAAATGTTGTCGCGTGCAGTCCGTAAGTTGTGCACTTCTTTTGACAATAAACAACAAGCTGGTCAAAAATTGTTGGCAATCTTTTCGGCCGCTCCGGCAAACGCGTGCTTCAAAATTCCCCCGCGAATGTAGACGGCTATGGACCTTCAAACAATGCAGGCAGACATTTTGACTTGATTCCTAGGATCTGGGGTGTTCGCACTTAGTAGCTGTCGGGAGCACGTGCTGCTTGGTAAATTTATGACATGCAATATATACACGCGACTCCCCGCAGGGGCACCGGCTTCGGCCGGTGTAGGGGACTAGCGCCCCCTCTGGTCCCAGCTCCGGTAACGGGTGGACAGCGCAAGCTGGTCCTCTCAGGGCGTAGCGACCCTGCCGGTACGTGAGCTCCTGCTCCTTGTCCCGCCCGCTCCCTTCACATTACCCGCACTTCCGCATCCGGGCCTATCACCACTTCTCGTCCTCGTTTTATCGGGGTCGCCGTGCCTCCTCGCCCACGTCCCCGGGTTGATCGGATCCTGGTGGCTGAGGGGCGCGTCGTGCGGGTCAGTCACGGCGCGTCCCAACACTCCACTTTGGCCAGGATATCCGGGGGCGCGGGGGCCCGTGGGGCCCACACGGGTCTAGCGGCTTGTCGCTCGCGTTGCGGCTGGGTGCTCCTTTCGGGTCTCCGCTTGGGGCGCCTGGCCGCGCGCAGCGGCATAAGGGATCAAGGGGCGGCGGCGCTGAACCACGGTCAGGACGGGGAGGGGCCTCCCCGGTCACACCTGGCCGTGTGGGAGGCGTCGTTCGCCCCGTATAGCACCGGGGTAGCCCTGGCGGTGACCACCTCCCGAGGGAGTGATGGGCCGTCCCCCAGTTGGGCTCCGAGGTGGATGGGGAGCCCCGGTGCCGAAATGAAAACCACCTGTTATGGCTTCTTCTAACATTAAAAACACCCGTCCTCCGAAAGGGGGGCGGACCTCGATAACCCCAGGGTGCAGAGACGAATCTGCGTCCCCTGGTCCGCGGATTCTGATATTCGGTAGTGAAGAGATTAAGCTGGCTTCTCTCTCACCGTTTCAGAGACGAAACGGTTGCGACAGGTTTGGAAATAATCATCAGGTGCGACAAGCTCAGGGATGGGAAAATAGAAGTAGAGTTCGTGAGTGGTCTGGGGGCAAGCAGGGCCATGGCAGCCAAGGAATTTACATTTACTGTTCGGGATGAGAGTGGAAAGCACGAAAAGACTGTGTCGATATCAGCAACACCACATAAAACCAAAAATTCATCCAGGGGCGTGGTCAATTGTTTTGATCTTAGAGACGTCGCCGAGAGCGAGATAGTCGATGAGCTCTCGGAGATTGGTGTGACGAGCGCTCGCAGGATTCTTGTCAGACGGGGAGGAGAGCTCTTGCCCACCAACAACCTCATTTTGACGTTTAGTTCCACCGATTTGCAGGCTGAGATACTGTTGGATACGCCCGAGTGAAGGTTCGCCCGTATATGCCTAACCCCATCCGGTGCTACCAATGTCAGCGATGTGGTCATACCAAGCTCCACTGTCGAAACCGCCCAGCATGTGGCAAATGTGCGTCATTCGAGCACACGGGCGAAGTTTGCACCTATATTGAACCCCACTGCGTCAACTGCGACAAGGACCAACTCCCACACACGACGTACGACCGTACATGCCTGGCCTACGCGAAAGAAAAGGAAATTATATCGATAAAAACCTCTAAAAACGTCTCTTTTCGAGAAGCTCGTGAACTTTACGACAGCCATCCTAAAACGTCTTATGCGTCCGAAGTGAAAATTTTGTTGCCGCAAAGTAATGCCACTGAGAACATGACGGCAGTTCAGTTCGTGGGACTTTTGAGGTCGTTTGGCCTGTCGGTTGTTCCCTCGGTCCGAACGTCTGACTCCCAGCCGGTACTCCAAGCTCCCTCCCCGCCGATCGAGCAGTCGGTAGACGCCGCACCGCTGGCCTCCTCGGTGCGCGCCGGATCACCAGCGGGCGACGGTTTGACGACGGTTCGACGTGGTCGGAGTCCCCGCGCGCCGCCGGCCGTGCCTTCGTTTGCGACCCAATCGGTCCCTTTGCCACAGACACTTCTTGCCAGTGCCTGTGAGCGTGTGGCAGAGACGCTGGAGCGTCAGGAAGCTGACAGGCGCGCCCGCGAGTCCAGGCGAACGCGCTTGGCCGAACTGGAGCGCGCTAAGGCGACAAGCCGCCTGTCCGAGGCAGACAAAGAGCCCGTCCCGCGAAACAGCACTCCATCGCCACGGAAGCCGGTGGAGGCCCCCGCTGGTGCCTCGAACCCCGGCAGAGGCCCACCGATGGGCCCTCCACCGCCTCCACTCCGGGCTGGGTTTCGCTGGCGTAAAGCGTGCCCCAGCCGGCCCCCCTTCTCCATCTGACGGAGGTAGCCCAAGGATTCGTCCTAGGGTGGGGCACGGCTCCCTGGAGTTAAGCTGAAGCTCTCGGTCTGAAGCGTCTGGACATACAACTGGCGCAGCCGAGTTCCTTTAAGCCGGGACTTGTTTTAGCTCTTCACGTCTTACCGATTTTTTAATGCGCCCTTTTACAGGCGTTTTTACCTTGGAACTGTAGAGGAGCAAGGGCGACCGCCCTCGATCTCCAGGCTGTCGTCAGCAGGGTCTCTCCTGCAGCCGTGGTGCTGCAGGAGACCAAGCTAGCGTCTGAGTATTTCTGCTCTTTGAAAGGATATGCGATGTTTCGCAACGACGTGCTGACGGAGAGTATTGCTCACGGTGGTGTCCTCCTGGCAGTTCACCATAGCGTGCCAGCGAGGAGGCTAGGCTTGCGGTCCACACTTCAGGCCGTGGCCGTGCGGCTTTATTTCAACCATCGTCACATCACTGTTTGCTCATTTTACCTTCCACCAGGCATCGCTTTTCAGTTGGCGCACCTTAGGTTCTGCTGGCTGAACTGCCTCCACCACTTCTTCTTCTAGGCGATTTTAATGCGCATCACACTGCATGGGGGTGTGACGTCACCAATGCTCGTGGGAGGTTGTGTGAGAATTTTATCCACGGTGTTTCACTATGCATTTTAAACACAGGGACTCGTACGCATTTTACAATGCCGTCCGGTCAGACGTCAGCGCCAGACTTAAGCCTCTCCAGTCCCCAGCTCGTCCAACACCTCGAGTGGAGTGTCGAAGATGACCCCATGGGAAGTGACCACTTCCCAGTGTGGGTCCGGTTTAACAGAGGTGGAGCGTTGAGTGTTAGACCACAACGCCGGAATTTTAAGAAAGCGGACTGGTGCGAATTTGAGACTCGGCTCGACGAATCGCTTGTAAATGAGCCTGAGAGGGCGATACCCTCTATTGAGGATTTTACCCACATACTTTTAGAGTGTGCAAACAGTTGTATCCCACGCACGTCTGGCGCTCCCCGACGTACTCCTGTTTCGTGGTGGACGGAGGAGTGTCGGAGCGCCATCCGGGCGCGTAAACGTGCATTTCGGGCTTTTGACGCCAGGAGCAGTACAGAAAACCTCACAGCCTTCAAGAAGGCGGGAGCTTTTGCTCGGCGCACCGTAAGGGAAGCGAAGCGTGCTTCCTGGCATGCTTACGTGAGTACGCTGAACTGCTTCAAGCCAACATCGCAGGTTTGGTCTCGAATTAAGCGTATATCTGGGCAGTTTTCACCCATAGCTCTTCCGGTACTATGTGTGAATGGACAGGCCGTGACGCGCCCGTTGGAAGTTGCGAACGAGATTGCCCGGGCGCTGGCCCACCGCAGCGAAGGTTGCAACACTAACCCACAGTTTGTGCGGCACCGAACGCAATGCGAGCAATCAGCAGTGGATTTTTCAACGAGTGAGCTGCGCTCCTATAATGATCCATTCACCCTGGTCGAGTTGGAATGGGCGATTGCCAAGCTTCGCAGCGTGTCAGGAGGTCCGGATACTGTACACAACGATATGCTCAAGCATTTGCCGCCTTGCGAGATTTGCGCTCTTTTAGCGGCGTTTAATGCGCTTTGGGCCAGTGGGGACTTTCCAGCCTCGTGGCGGGAAGCTATAGTCGTTCCTATTTTGAAAACGGGTAAAAGCGGACTAGATCCTTTACACTATAGACCTATTTCTCTCACTTCATCGCCCTCTAAGTTGATGGAAAAGATGGTTAATGTCCGTTTAACTTGGTTTTTAGATCATCACGGCGTTTTTACAAACGCCCAGTGAGGTTTTATGTATATATATACACGCGACTGAATTTTTTTGCATTTACAAAGTCCACGTTGACATTAAAATGAGACGGTCGAGAACATGCGATGTTGTTTTGCGCCACGAAAGAACCGCGCCTATGGCACGCCAAACTGAGCTATTTGGTGAAAACGTTTGAGCTGTGCACCCCTCCCATGATCAAATCCTGCGCACACTCCTGCCTGGAGCCGGCACTGAACAGCTTCTGATCCGCTCCTTGCGACTGGGACACTGCGCCTACCTCGCACGTGTCCACCGGGTTAGCGCCTCTCCGCAGGCGGTTGGCCACCTCCTTGGGGATCATCTGGTACAGCAGCTCGTCCGTGCGGCGCATCTCCTCGTCCAGCTTACGCATGGACTCCTCCAGCTTCTTGGACTTGAGCTGCTCCTGGTCGAGTGCCAGCTTCAGCTCGATCGATTGCTGCGTACCTGCCAGCATGAGGTCCCTGCGGGCCGGCCGGCCGGCCGGCGCCCCCCGTCACGACACGGGACAGGGCCAGGGTTAGGGCCGGGTCACCACACTGGTGCCACGGCCAACAACTCCTACCGGCAACAGTGCTGTGGCATCAGTTGCGCGCGACATTACTTTGCCTGCCAAAGCGCATGATATAGGCTTTCGTTATACACAGCTTACTTCTACTGCAAAGACTTATACATGACATGAGTGATACACAACGACATGTACTTATGCAGTCTTTGCCCATCCGTGGCATTACTTCTACTGTAAAAACTTGGACACAATAAGAGCGCTACACGAAAGAAATTCCATCGCATATTATGCCCGTTATTGCCTATACAGTCTTTACTTGCGCGCGACATTACTTCGCCTGTCAAAGCGCATGATATAGGCTTTCCTTATGCACAGCTTACTTCTGCTGCAAAGACTTATACATGGCATGAGTGATACACAACGAAATGTACTTATGGAGTCTTTGCCCATCCGTGGCATTACTTCTACTGTTAAAAAAACTCGGACACAATAAGAACGCTACGCGAAAGAAATTCCATCGCATATTATGCCCGTGATTGCCTATGCAGTCTTTACTTGCGCGCGACATTACTTCTACTGCAAAAGCTCATGAAGGACGTGACTTTTACATGCCAAGCCTTATGCGGCAAAAACATAAACCGGTCATTAGTTCTACAATAAATACTCATACAGTCTTCATATATACGCGACATTTTTTCCACTAGAATGAGTTCCATGTGACATGACTGCTACACAGCAAAACTTGAAAAGTAATAAAAAATATATTTAGACAGGCTTATACCAGTTATTACGTTTGCGGTAAAAACTTATATCGCCTTTACGTATCAGTGATATTACTTTTTCGATCCGCAGTTATATGAGACATTACACTACAATAGATGCCACCTTACACAAATTCTAACCGTCAGTTTCCATAGCCTAAGCCTCACCAAAATCCTGGAGAGGAAACGAACATGGGAGCACTTGACTGGTTGAAATCAGACTGCACGTGCCCACTCCATGATGTCGGTACATTGTTAATGGTGTTAATATTGCGGTTGATAGACCCACGACAATAGTTCCACGCGCTATTTTTTTGTTGCCGAAAAAAAACATATGGTCCACTGTCGTATTGTGTCAAAAAAGTTTGGAGACTGAGCAGGGCAGTGCCACCAAACCGGCTAAAAAAAAAAAAATGATGAAACACGGTATTTACCACCGAGGTGATATAGCCTCCCACTACAGGTGAGTGATGGATGTGGTCTCCGACTAAAGACAAAACTACACCCCTGGCTTGGCGTTCACTGAAGCGCGGCGTTACATATGCAGCGATGACTTATATCAGGCCCTTGTGCTGCGCGACAGATCTGATGCGGCTCCGACCTTGATACTTTGCTACCCAAGTACAGCCTTATATCAGGCTCTAATGCTGCGCGACAGATCTAATGCCGACCCGACCTTGATACTTTGCTACCCAACTGCAGCCTTTGCCCATTCGCCAAGTACCACAAATTGATTTGCCCAGCTGGGGCTCCCTCCTACCTCTGAGGTGCTCCTTCACCTCTGCTAGCTGTCCACACGCATTTTGCACTCCATGGTAAGTTTTAGCAGTAGAAGTGATATTGCGTGTACTTAAAGGCGCCATAAGATTATGTAGTAAAAGTAATAACAGTTACACATTTTCGAATGCTACGTTGTCGTGAAGCACTAAATGTCACGGATAGGTTTTTGTAGTAGAGGCGACGTCGCGCATAGGCGAGAGCTGTATAGGTGTTTGCGGAAGAAGTCAAGACGGGCGTGACATTTGCAGTACAAGTTTTGTCGCACAGCACTAACGTCCGGTATAAGCATTGTCAGTGGAAGCATTGTTGCAGCACTCCTGTCGGTGGGCGTTTGGTAGAAGAATTGATGTCGCGGAACCGTAGTGACGCCCGCGGTCGATCCATCTTAAAAACCGTGCTGCTGACAGCGGCGTCTTTTGAGATCGGCGAACACGGGTCGAGGACGGATCGAACACATGCCAACGGATTCAATACATAACAATTGCGGATTGGGCTAGTGCGTGAGAGGGAGTGCTCCACATTTGAAGATATCGAAGACAAGATGAAATCAGCTGACTATTGGAATATTTCCAAAGTCCAAAGGGAGTATTCCACATTTGTAGGGGACTTCGAGCTGACAGCGGTCTGGAAGATCGTTAGCGCAGTTTACAGCCATGGCCTTCGTAAGACCTATACCTCTCTAGTTTTTTAACTAGTGAGCACGATTTCCGGACACAGCACGATCCTGGCGTTCGTGAGCACGATTTTCAGATACAGCGGCCGTCAATTGGCTCTCAATCAATGTTGTGCAAGGCACGATGTCACAATCAAACAATGACGTATTGAGGAGTACATTTATTGCATAGAGAACATGTGATGTCGACAGCAGTCTTTTCCACTTAAAAGCATGCCAATAGTTATCAGTGGGCTTATTTCATCATACCTGATGATTGCTTAATACATGCAAGTATGGGACATCCCCTTCAAGCCGTAACGGCATTGCTGCATAAGCGGGTGCCCATGAAATATATCAGTTACGGTATGCTACGCAAAACAGTAACACTGATATGACGCTATGCAAATAAATCCTCTCATTTTATTTCCATCACTTCAAATTTTGTTTCATTCCAGAATCAAAAATTGAATGATTAATATGCAGTGCATTGCAAACACTTCGTCCCTTACTCATGAGCAAACGTCAAACGTCACTGACGTGACCCCCCTTGCAGACATTTCCTGCTCTCTGCGCCTCTCGAGGCGCGCTTGTCGCTCGCGCCAGCTGTGCGCATCGCCACCTCACCTGCTGAAGTCGTGCATGGAGAGGTCGTTGATGAAGAGTCCCGTGTGGATCATGGCCTCCAGGTCGGGCATGACCGGCGTGCCGAGGAAAACGATCATCCGCCACTCGTCAAAGTACATCATCTGACCTGGATGGGCGCAGACGGAGGTCAGCGCCCGCGAGTCGCTCAAGGGTAAGCGAGCTGAGACATGAACGAGGCAGGGAAGGGGAACCCGCCTAAGGGTTTGTCTTAGCTGTGCAGCATGGGTTGGTAGGGGACGATGGCGGCGTGGTGAGTCATATGAAGCGCGTTGGCGGCAGAGGCCCCCACTTGAGTGGTACCATCTGTACGCCTCCCATTACACTTGAGTGGTACCATCTGTACGCCTCCCATTACCCTTGAGTGGTACCATCTGTACGCCTCCCATTACACTGTTTTGTTTAAAGCATTTCGCATACGGAACAAAATCGTCCTGTTGTAGACGAAGAATACCGCGTCTCCTGATTTGTGTGATATCTTTCTTTGGTCATCCTGCCGTGCTGCGGAACTGCAAAGTGCTGCAGTGCTGCAGAATTTTCCGAAGTTTTGATTTCATCGTTGAATTGTCCCTGGAGTGTCGCCACAAAAGGGGCACCGGCAGTGCGGCACATAATTACTGGTGCATCCTTATGGCGCAGTGAGTCTGCCGGTGGCGTCTAGATAACCTTATCCGGTCATGCATTATCAGAGCTCCATTATCATGATGTTCGTTTCAACCCCCACGTTTGGCCCAGACCACCCAAGAAGTTACCAAAAAGTGCTGATCTTGTATGCTCCCGCTTAACCCCCCGCCACTACGTGTGCTACTCCCCGTGTCGCCTCAGGGGTATTGTGCCCACCGCGATGGCCGTGACGCGGCACGCGAGCTCTACTACACATGCGAACAACAGCCCGCCGCCACACCAATTTCCGTCCAGCGGTCCGTAACGCCGCGGCGTCGTCACCGCTCTGCGTGCGTTTCCACGCGGCCAGACGACGCTCCGGCGCGGCCGACGCAGGGCAGCTGGATGGCGGCCATCTCGCTGCGCGCTAGCGACGAGTTCGGGCCGACAGGCGTCAAAATGTTTACACGACTGCACTCTTTCCGATCGTTTAGGTTTCGGATGCTGGCAGGTTGCGAATCAAAACCGCACTCAGAATGTGCCCGAAATAAACACATTTTTCTTGGGGCGAGACGTTCGCAGGTAGAAGCGAAGTTCAGTACAGAAAGATATGTGCTATTTTGACCCTAAATAGTGATATCAAGTTAAACTGAACGCTAGGGAGCCAGCATCTTTACGTCACATCTTTCTCGGTCGGCCATGAACATCACATTGCGTTATAGATTGTGTGCATTCCGCTTTGTGGACAGTCTATGGCCCTAAAATGAAATATATGTATATATATATATATATATGTATGTATACATATTTATATATATATATACATATATATATATATATATATATATATATATATGTGTGTGTATATATATTGAATTCTCCTGCGCTCATTGAAAGACTAGTTTTAGGATCCTTATGTCGAGGGTCTCGTCCAGCTTTGGCCGCAGTATCTTAAGCTTGAGTCTAAGCCCACCGAGCTCATCTTCTCCACATTAACTGGGCAAGAGTCCGAACTCGTTGCTTTTGCTGCACATGAGTCGGAATACGTATTTAAGTTCGATCGTTTTGATTCGGACGCCAAATTCATCTATTTCACACTTGTTTTTTATTTCTTTTATTATCTGTTTATCTTTATATGCATCATACCTTTTATCGTCTATTATATATTACTTGTATGCATTATTTTACACTATCTCTGCATATGAAACCGTGCCCACTCTTTTCACAACACATGACTGCTGTGCATCAACACAGTCAACGTCCCTCTATTCGTCTTCAGCATTCAGTGTCGAGCTCACAGAATTCCAGAGCTCCGTTTGCCGATGCAGCCGCAGTAGGCCCGCTGACACCTCACCCTTCAGTCGCAGGTTCTTCTCCTTGACGAACATCTCGTCGTCGCTGTCGACCATGTGATTGTTGTAGGTCTTGCTGTCCATGGAGCGGAGGCGGGAAGGCGCGTCGATAGAGATCAGCTCAAATATGTTGTTCGTCTTCTTCAGTATCTGCGGCGCCAATTCGTGATGCGGTCACATGGTATGGCGGCCACGGCGGAGCGCGCTCACATGCAGTCAGCAGTGCGGCCTGAGCCAGATCCGCCCTGTGACGCGTATGACGTGCGGTGATGGTGCGCCGAACAGTGCGTATTGTTCGCATCTGTGGTTGCGTGCATCCACGGTGTGGGCTATGTGGTGTGCAGACATTTATGTGAGGGATAGCTGTCTTCTCTCAGGTGATGGGTGCACTCCCCCCGCGGAATACAAAACAACTTGCGCGCGCCCGTAGCAGCGCTGAGAGTGCTCCGGAATGACGCTCATTTATCCCGGAGGGCGATAATACCCCGACGAGGTCAGTGGCTGTAGACGGAAGATGGGTATTAATCGATGCGGCATAGTGGGTGTCGCTGCGCAGACGCGGGGTGGAAAACAGAACTCACCCCAGAAAACCGGAACTCGACTAGCGGCCGAACCAAGTCGAACCACTCGTCAATCTTCTTTCCTATCAGCTCCGGAAGAATGGTCATCATAGACTGGCCCAGATTCTTTACCACCAGGTTTGACCTGTTGAGAAGGTGGCCCGGGGGCGCTGTTACTGCGCGCGCTGACAAGGATCGGGAGCGGTCGAGATAAGTACTACGCTAGCTTTTTTCCTGGTATGTCCTGAACGAAAAAAGCGGAAAGTGAAGTGTTTTCATTCTGTCCAGTAAGCACGAGGTGCGTCGTTTGAAAAGAACACATTCAACATAATTCTAAATATTCACAAGTCATTGGCCGATGAGGCGTTACGTAAGAGACGGGTTGAATTTCTTCACGTGAGAAAGGGGGAGTACGGGGCGAGCGAGCGCGACCTGGGGTCGAATCTTAGTGTTCCCCAACCTCCTTCGTTTTAAATTTTGTCTTGTTTCGTGGTAACGTATAAATGCTTGGCATGTCAGGCAACCTAAAATATTGACAAGAGCACATTAATGATGGCGAAACGCGTGTGCACAATTCAACCCACCTGCCATATTTTCGCACACTATATCTGTTTTGACCAACAAGAAATTAATTCAGTGCCCTAAAGTTTGGATGAAGATATATTGTGGCTGTCAAATGCGAGCTGTAATTTGTCGTCTTAGCTTGCATATTCCCTGACATTACGGGCGGACCTTGCTCCCACCCCCACCCTTTCACGGGAGGAGCTTTCAAAGCACCTCCAGCCTTCCAGGACACGCTTTCAGAGCACCTCCAGCCTTCCAGGGCACGCGCCGAATGGCAAGCTCAGCGTAGCGCGTTTCGTCACGCAGGGCCCAACGGTCGATAAAGTGCGTTTTGGCGGTCGGCCCTGACGTACTCGGAGCGCTGCAGTTACGTCAGCTTAAACGTTTAACCCCAAAAGAGGAGCGGGAAACCGCTTTGTTCTTAAAAACCTGCAAGGTTGCTGGAGAGAGATCTGCCAGTGGCGGACTGAGCCAGAGCGCTGCAGTTACGTCAGCTTAAACTTGTAACCCCAAAAGACGAGTGGGAAACCGCTATTGTTCTTAAAAAACCTGCAAGGTTGCTGGAGAGAGATCTGCCAGTGACCAGATCTCTCTCTCTCTCTCTCTCTCCTCTCTTCTCTCTCTCTCTCTCTCTCTCTCTCTCTCTCTCTCTCTCTCTCTCTCTCTCTCTCTCTCTCTCTCTCTCTCTCTCTCTCTCTCTCTCTCTCTCTCTCTCTCTCTCTCTCTCTCTCTCTCTCTCTCTCTCTCTCTCTTCTCTCTCTCTCTCTCTCTCTCTCTCTCTCTCTCTCTCTCTCTCTCTCTCTCTCTCTCTCTCTCTCTCTCTCTCTCTCTCTCTCTCTCTCTCTCTCTCTCTCCCCGCGTATCCTGTCCGGCTCTCTCCCGGCGCCTGCCGTGCTCGGCTGGGCTGTGTCCGACAGTGACGCACGAGCCAACCGTGCCGCGCCCAGCCCAGTGCGCCGACGACGCAGGCTCCCTCCCCTGTTGATCCAGCTGGCCACCGGATGGCCACCGCGACGCTGACGGGAAAAACACCACGCGCCAGGCCAGACAGCAGTGGGATGACTAGATCGTGCTGACCCTATTTACAGTGTATTTTTTTTTTCAGGATTGCGGGCAGTTTGTTGAGCCGATGTAGGTGCCTTTTATCCTTCGAAATTCGCGCTCCCCTGGAAAAATAACGTTGAGTCGCGTCCGCAAAACCACAAAGGTATATGGAATGCCATAATCAAGCCAGCATCGCTTTTAGGTTGCCATTGCCGCAATGCTGGCTACTGTTTGCCAGAGGCGGCGGCGCCCATTAAGTCAACGACGTATTCGCGTCAGAATTCAGTGACGAGTTCTGATTTCTCTAAAAATGTTTTCGTAAGCCAAACCACACCAGCTGGTTACGAAAATGTGGCCCGCCTGCTCTATCGTAAGCACTTTTACGTGCAGGGGGTCAGGAAACAAAGTCAGCCAGTGGTAATATCAGATGAAAGCCATCTGCAAAAAAGGGCACTAAATAAAAGCCAGACAAACATTACAGCCTACGACGACAAAAGACTTTTCAATGGCAAGTTTCAAAGTCACGTCAAGGTCAGAGGACAGGTTAGCGCCACATTCCCGCCGTCTCGAACTGGTTGTGTATAAATGGACCGTCATTTATACACTATCCGAGAGTCTGATATCCTTTTCGTAATCAGTCTGAATTTCATAACATGAAGGCTCTCAAAATGGACCAATCAAGAAGAGCTTGCAAGGTCTTATTCAAGGCCAAAAGGGGAGGGGGGAGCGCTGCTCTGTTCCTGTTTGGGACCAATCTTGGCAAATGATGTGCCATTGGAAAGCCCAGTGGACGTTCCAGCCTGGGTTATAAAACACCATCATTCGGGATGATTGCTCCTGCTAACAAACTCAAAACACATGATTTCAAGTTAAAAATGACGGGAAAGCGATGCGCTGTGGGTTTAAAGGACCTATCTACACAAATCAGGTGTCATTAGAAGGCCTAGAGTCTATATCAGCCGGGGCAACAATCTACTGGTACGCACCCTGGGCTGCTGCGCCTCACCAAATTCGCTGGCTTGTCGCAGGGCGAATGCAACGGGACGACGTTCTACACGCACGATGATTACAGACAAGGATTGATCGTTCGCACCCCACTCACGTGAAGGCAATGGAGAAGGGAAACAATTCGAAGACGATGCTGGCCCTGATGGGCAGGCTCTGCTCGTCCCGCACCAGCTGGAACGAGTGCGCTTCGCGGTAAGCTTGGTTGTCGAATGTCAGCTGGAACGTCACGTGGAACGAGTCCATGAAGGAGTCCTCGCGCACCAGCTCGATCTTCATATCTGTGTCGTAAAAGTGCCGCGCCACCTAGAGCAAGAGGCAGCCTGTGAGGTCGCGTGGGATGAGTCCATGAGCAGTCCTCGCGCACCAGCTCGATCTTTATATCTGCGTCGTAGATGCCGCCCCACCTAGAGCAGGAGGCAGCCTGCGATGCCACTTGCTCCGGACAGCAGAAATAACCAACGGGACTCCGTAAATTGCCAATGGCTCGCAGCAATGAATTGTGGTCGAGGACAGGCACTTGGCGGCCTTCCGGATACAAATAGATCTATGTAACCTCTAAATCCAACAATTACGCTGTCAGCAATGGACTGGACTCGGGAGAAACATAATATCCTTAATTTCTCGTCTGTTCAGGGTCGATTTCATCACTGTAGCGCGCTCGTTGCCATGCCAGCAACCGACCGTGTCATGCCAAGGCACAGAAAAGGTGCCTCCCATCATCGAGTTTGTACACACACAGTTGCGCGCTTGGGATATCCGAGCAGCACGCGGTCTTTATTTTTAATTGTCGGTATATTTTCCCCGAGATCGAGACAATCCTCCCTCGTCAGCCCGCTTCAAAGCGCTGGGGAGCTGCTGGCCACCCTCGCTGGCCGCCGCGCTGGGGAGCCGCTGGCCGCTGCGCTGGGGAGCCGCTGGCCGCCCTCGCTGGCCGCTGAGCTGGGGAGTCGCTGGCCGCCCTCGCTGGCCGCTGAGTTGGGGAGCCGCTGGCCGCTGCGCCGCTGCGCATCGCCGAGACTGGTGCGGCAGCACATGGCACAACACTCGGCCGTAAACGGACGACCTGCCACCGGCCCGACGGACGCCGGCACGGCATCCCCCCCCCCCGGGCTGGCCTCGCCCTCCGCTGCCGCCAACCGGCCCAACCGCAACCATGCCGTTGGCAAGATGGAGCGAGTTGGTTTATATCGGGTCAGTTCAACTCGCCCCCGGCTCCCATGCTCCAGCCTCTCGTCTGCCGCGGCTTTGCGCGCTGCAACGGGTACGTGTACTGATTGCTGGGTGTGCGGCGGCCGCCGCCGCAGGTGCTCACCTGCTTGATCTGGCCCATGGTGTAGAAGCCGTAGCCCCTGCGCTTGCTGCGGTAGTGCAGCACCATGCCCGTGGCCGTCTCGCTCTCGCAGAAGAAGGACGGCGGCCGCATGCGCGGGTAAGAGAACTTGAGGTACTCGTGCAGGTTGTCCAGGCCTGCCGTGACATGGGGACCGTCACCTGGCGCTGCCTTCGTGGGATACCATAGGCTTTAGACATTCACCATCCAGTCACCTCGGTGGCAATTTCGGCCTATCAGGCTGATATGCTGCGGCCCTAGCAGAGCTTTTCCACACGAGTGCTGTATAAATCCAACATTTAGGCAAGCGAGCTCTTCGTTTCGTAGTGCCGAAGGGTGGCGGCGACATCCACTGTGTGTGAACCCCCAACACGCGCGACACGCTTTGCTAGTAGATGGCTGTCAATGTCAGTACACACTTTCGTCGGACACAGAATAAGCACAGATGCAGACTACACACTTCTGAATCATTCAGTGATGCGGCGTTGTCGCTCGTCGTCCTCAAACGCAATTTTAAGAAAGCGTCTGAGAGCTCGGGCTACAGATTCAGATTCAGATGTGTGGTCATCAAGACGCGTAGCTATGGTAGCTTTTCACCTGACATGCCAATGGCAATAGAAAGCTGAGGACGAATGCCTGGGTCCCACTCTAACGCAGCACAAAGCGCGCACGACATGCGCACACTGTGTCTTTCAGCTGTGTCTGAACAGGATCGTGCGTTTTAAATTTCCCTTGACTGATGGCACATGCCGATCAATGTTGGAACGGTTCAGCAAAGCTCAGCAAAACTTCGGTACACAGTCGGCGCCTGTCTGTTCCAGCTGGGTCTCGAGGCTATGTTATGTGAACTGTGTTTTGGGTGCTGTTGGATGCAATTTGGGTGCTGTCACTTTGCAGCTCACGAACGACTGGCCAGCTACCACATCTAATATTTCTGCTTATCCGGCTGCAATGTAACGTCAGACCCTCTTGTGAAAACCCAGGCCAACTCAACAGGATTCTGGAGAACTCGCGCTAACGATGTCAACACCGCCCACTCGCGGTTTGGTGAAGGTCTCCACGCAGTTGCATAAGCTCGTGGCAGCTGTTGCCGGACCGGCGTCACCGTTACCTCAGCGGGAGTGAGGACGGGTGGTGAGGATTGCTATGGAGGGGAACGTAGCGGCCGGCCGGCGGCGGCGCCCTGGAAGCGGGGGCGGACTGGGTCAAGGCAGTCACGGGGCCATGCTAGTGGTGTATAGTCGCCAGCGGACAAGTGTGGGGATGGTCTCTGAAGGACGGAATCGACGCCTGTCAGAGGCCGTTTGTCGCACTTGCGGCCACTCGTGGCAGCCAGGAGCAAAAGACGTTAGGTGGAATCGAAAGGGTTTGATTTTACGACAGCAGTGAGCGTCAGGCCCCACATTTCCAGGGATCTGTGCGGGGCAGTGTTTCACTCACCATTGAGAAAATCCCGCACGTGTCGCCCCAGGACGGAGAGCACTCGGTCGTATCCGTACTGGCCGACGAAGTTCACGAAGAAGACGCCCATGTTTTCGAAGAATTCCTGCTCTGTGACCTTCAGGACCTGCGCCAAGAATGACGTGTTCTTCAGGTGTGACTGAGTTTGGAGACACGGGTTCCGTGGCAGGAGCTGACCTGGCATTACGCTTATCTTTTATAAACAATAGTTTGTGTTGAAGACAAAATGGGAAAAAAATAAGCAAAAAGAGCTTTGTTAGATTCTTAAAAAAGCATTCCTAACGATCTCTCTGGGAATTTTATCTCGTATTGTAGCTCCTTTTTAAAGGTCTGGATCGTACAACAAACAAACTGCTGTGTTCATGAAGTAGAAAATTCTGGCATGTTTTCCCCTTTGATGTTAGTCAACAAGATTGCGCGTTCCAATTCTCCTTTGAACAGTGGTACATGCGGATTAATGTTGGTACGGCGCAGCATAGTGACCGCTTTGATACACGGTCTAACATCTAGCAGTCTTGCCTAGGGAACGAATCTTCTAGCAAGGAGCTATTTTTTACACATGTGGCTCTGCAAACTGTGCGCTTTAACGTGGTTTGATGGGAGACAGGGACGCGTAGCTACTGTGGTCCCATTTATGCCAGCTGTTACAACGTAAATCAAAGTTGAAAAACCTGGGTGAAATATTTCTTCAAGAAATATTGCGCATCTTTTTTTGTATATTAAACATCGCATATGGAACCATATTCTGATGCGCATTTAATGAAAAACTAGTTAGCATACTATTAGCATAGCCTAGCGCAATCTCGTTTGCCGCACTTGCAGGCTGCAGTTTCGTGATTGATTTCGTACATTACTAAACATTTACTATGTTCGGTAAAATAATGTTATTAGCACAACAATGAGGACGGAATGACCTTAGATTTTATGTACGCGTAGCATCGATCGAACGGCCGCAGTATCTAATCCAACCCAATCGAATCCAATAGTCACGACATCCTATTGAAGGAAATGACCGCTGCTGACACGTAGCCATATATCCGCCCTGTCATCTCTTGTAGGCCAGGTCCTGCATCCCCGCACGCTGGCCAGACCGGAAATTGACTGAAGCCATCTACAGCGGCGCCAATGGCTTCCAGTCCAGAACAACGGATGGGTGTCTCACATGTCGCTGGGCTGCCATATGGCTCGTCCGCAAGGCAGCGGAGAATTCTGTGCGGGATGCTCGTGGTGTTCGAACCTAAATCTAAGAAAATTTCGGCATGATTCAGGCGCTGTTGTCACGGCTTTAACACATAATGTTCGCGCCATTATAACGCTTGTTTGGTTTCGTGCAGCAGGAGGCAGCTATATCGATAAGCTCGAGAGGTCTCACTATAAAAAGACGCACAAATTCCTGAGGGCAGTGGCCGGATCCAGGCATATTAGTAAGAGTTAGTTAACTTCCTAACATCAAATACGGGCGTAAATACGGCTCTTTCAAGTGATTCGGCGCGCACTGATCTGCAACATTTACCTGTACTCACTGATCCGTGGCATTCAGCTGCACTAACTGTAAGCCACAGCTTACACACGTCTTTTACGAAGTTTTTACCAATGTTCATCATGGCTGACTTATATACTACCCATCAACTGGACATCGATATCACATCTTGTGAAATTTCGGGTGTCCTCCAGCCATCCTCGCTGGTTGCAGTGTGCGATTCGTAAAATCCCTAGCGAGTGAGGTGTTCACGACGCTCCTATTGCCTATACCTAGTATTCATTGCGGTTGCGTGCCACGCTATGCAGCCACCTCGCGGGACATTTTATGTAAACGTACATAGTTATGGCACATGGGATAGGCAAGATGCGTCCAATGCAGCCGTATCATTTCCAGCATAGCCCACTTGGCCTTTCCTTCCTCTCACTATGCCAAGCAAATATGAACGAAGATCATTAGCTATGGACATCTACTTGAATGAATCATCTCCACGCGAGTAAGGTTCGTCCAACCCAGCCACCACATTCGCCTCATCACACGGTTCCCGGGGCTGGGAATCAGTCGCACTGTCCGCAGCTTTCAGTATTCAGTGGCGAGCCGGCCGAAGAGGATCCGCAGCCGCCGCTGCGCTTTCGAGCCGCCCCGTCAGCGCCGGCCGTCCGCGGTGGCGGCGGGTGCGAGATTGCACCAGCGTGCGGCCCGCGCCGCCAGCGGTGTGGCCGGTGTCACTGGACAGGGTGGCTGGTGTCACTGGACATTGGTGGTCAGTGTCATTCGTTAGAGGTGGCCCGTGTCATCAGGCAGGAGTGGCCAGTGTCACTGGATGGAGGTGACGCAATGTCCCTGCACGCATGTATCCGGCATGATTAGGCGAAGGTGGCCGGTGCCGGTGGGCGATCATTCGTGGGACAGCTACGGCTCTTTTCAAAACAAATCCCAAAACTGCATTTCACAAGTGACTCTGCATCCGGCCACGCCTATTTCTCCTTGACCTTAGATAACCCCAGTCCAGCCTTTGCCTTGGGGACCGCGACGCCGATGTGACACGTTGGGCTTGCCAAAGTCGTCTCGGGGCTGCGCGGGAAGGGTCGACATGGCGCAAGGCGATCAAGTCGTAGAGTTCTTATGTGCCACGCCAAAAACAGCGCCCCAAAGACCTAGAGAAGACATCAATTTACCTGTAATACAAAATTAATCATTTTACGTGATACCTTCTTACAAATGAAATCGATATATCCTTTAAATAATTGTATTATCTATAAAATTATTCATGCCATGTTATAACAGTTTCGCCCATATTTGTGGTATGTTTAAATCTACCACCTTCGCATGCTGAGAACTGACCATGCCTCTTCGACGACACAGTTAGAATGGATTGGACGCGCCCGCCATTTCGCCGTTGTCAGCGGTAAAACCCTTACCTTAAATAACATTTCCGAGCGCGTGCCAAGCGGTGTTCCTCGAGGCGCCCACGCACTGCTGGGTGAGACGCTTCATCTCAAGTACACCAGCATCGTGCCAAGGTTTCCCTCGATCACAATCCACCTTTTGACGCAGCGCATTTGCAAGGCGAAAAGAGCGAGAGACGAGGCTGAAGGAGTCGCGCAATCACCGCCGATCTTTCACGCATAGGCAATTGTCATTCAATACTGTGTCGTGCACACGCGCGCAGCAAATGCCTGGCCAGAGAGAGCTTGTGTCCCGACAGGTACAAAACAAGTGTCATACGGACTTGCATTCACCGCGCCCTCAAGCAGTGTTCACCATGGCTCTTTGTGCAGGAGCACAAAGGAACGTAGGCGGGTCAAACAAATCCCAGCCGACAACGATCACGACGTGCGAACTGCGTAGGATCAGATCAGCTGGATTGTGTGACAGTACCTAAATCCGAAACCAAAAACAGAACACCAGAACACGAACCGCCTGTTCTTTAAAAAGACGTGATGTACCCTGGTTACAAAGCTGACGAAAAACTCTGCACGACATTGTCCATCACAATTGTCAAACGAAGGATACTAATGGCAGCATCAAACTAGTACGACTGCATCCTCGCTGATCGCAGAAAATAATTCTTCACATGACTCGGCTCCACTCAAAGAAATCAATGTCATATGCAACTATAAATGCAACATAGGAGACTCCGTCCTCCTACATAATAGTGTATGTATTGACCACACTATAGCGACACTCTCCAGACGTCTGGCTATGCACCCGCAAAACGGCGGCCATGCACACACTTTGAGACCCAACATAAAACACACCTGACACGCAAAATACTCAACACACCACAAGTCATCAAGTCGCAAGTCATCTCACGCTTTACATGGAGATGGAGACTCATCGCTCTAGAAATACACACATTTGCGGATGGCATCCTCTCATTAACAAATAAATGTGTGTGGAACCCCTCATCTGTATGGAGGGTCACCATTAGGGCGGAGGGCGCAGGATCAGTGAGTGTTTTGCGTATCACGGGTGAACGTTGTTATCTGTCAGTGAGGAGTCTTTGTGGTATGTAAATGCCCAGCTCTGTATTGTGATGTATATTGAGTATGTTTGCACCACACCGGTATTACAAAAACGGATGTATTTAGGCACAAGATCCAATATGCGCAAGCACGAGAAGACTTGGATGTTACAAATATGCGATTATATCGGCTTTGTCTAAAATCGACACTTTAGAAAATGTCGAATGAAGGATGAAACGTTGAAAAATATAACTAATACCAGACCATGCAATATGTCAGTAAATATCTTCTTTATATCATCAGCTTTGGTGCCAATATAAATGAACATCGGGAACGAGCAAGGAATGCCATCAGATGTCTGGAGAAAATATCCAAGAAGATCATCAATGATGAGTCCGCTGTGATTTTGTAACAAGACATCTTTAAATGATAATTTGCCTTCTAAGTTTATATTATACATCTATGTTTACATACTTATGTATATATATATATATATATATATATATATATATACATATCTGTATATATGTATATACATATATATGCATGTACATATGCATATATATATATATACATATATTGGAATATGTAGGCAGCAAATTGTCTTCTATGCAAGTACTGTTGAAGACTTTGTCGTAGGTACATTTTATAAGTTTTTTCAGTCCTTGCTTCAGTTTTCTAATTATGTCTCTCTGCTCACCACTGAGACTAAAAGTAGCTCGACGGTGTTTTACATCTATTGATTGTACTGACGTTAAGGAATGACATATTCCATTTTTAAAGTTGCACACAGCCTTCAAGTGACGAATATGTGATAACATATTACAGTTGGATATAACAATTAGGTTTTATCAAGTTCAGTTAAATTGTCAAATTGTATAGAGTCTAAATGAGCTGGCTTACATGTTTTAAGAGCATATTAATTCAAGTGGCAAACATGTGCTGAGTAGTAAGATATGCCATCTACGGAAAGCATCGATCGTCCCTTAATGAGGTGAAGGATGACTGAGGGATTTGTGTGCTTGTTCAGTTCCGGTCACGATGTTTTGATTGTGACAGCCTCCAGAACATCAAGCTTCCTCTTGTTTGATGATAATATTATGGTGGTGATGTTTTTGTGATGAGGTTGTCTCGAATGATGCCCAGGCCGTGTTCTTT